AGCTACCCGGGAGGCTGAGGCAGGAGGATTGCTTGAGCCCAGGAGTCTGAGGTTGCTGTGAGCTAGGCTGACGCCACGGCACTCTAGCTTGGGCAATAGAGTGAGACTCTGTCTCAAAAAACAAAAAAAAGAAAAGCTGGAAATTTAATCAAAGGTTTCCACCTTAGCTGTGCATCGCACCCACCCTGGGGACTTGCTAGGAATCCACATTCCCCGGCTCCACCTCCAGCTGCACCAGGCTCTCTGGGCCAGGGCCCGGACACGGGTATTTTCAAAAGCTCAATGGCCCACAGTCTGCCAGAAACCCACAGCAGCCTGGGGCCCTGGCAATGGCAGTAAGGGACTCAGTGTCCCCAGAAGTTATACCTGCCACTCCTAAGCTGGTCTCTCCCCACCTGCCACACCCCAAACCCAGGGCAGAGTCAGGGTACTGGAGCTGGGCCCTTCTGTGGGGCCACTCACCTCTCTGGCCCGGGGGACAGTGGGTGCACACCACCTCCCCGCTCTCCGGGACGGTCGTGCAGGCTGACTGCCCGGGGCAGGGGCAGGGCTGGCAGTCGTCAGCTTGGCCCGTGAAGGGCTTGCCGTAGAATCCAGGCATGCAGCGCTCACAGGACGGGCCCTCGGTGTGGTGGCCGCACACGCAGATCCCTGAGGGGCGAGACAAGCACCTGCCTACCGCTGCCTGACCCCAGGACACCCCCAGATGGTGGAGGAGGTCACAGAGCACATCCTGGGTAGAAGTGACTCGGGAACCCTCCCACGTGGAGGCAGCACAGCCCGGCTGGAGAGTCCAGCCTGGGTTGGTGTCAGCCACTCACAGCCCACGTGAACCTGGGCGAGTCGTCTAACACCCCTGCCTCAGTTCCTCACCTGCAAGGGGGGAATGACAACAGCACTGATTTCAGAGGTTTGCACCAGCATTCAAGGAGCCATGCACTCACAGTGCCTTGCACACCCCGGGCACACGGACGGTCACTACCGTTACTATCCTATATTCTGAAACCTACGAACCAATGGGGAACACAGCCACCCTCCACTCTCACCATGTCCTCTATTAACTCAAAGGGACCAAAGGAAGCTTGACCGGCACTAAGGCACACACGGATCCGGGATTTGGGCCTTCACACAGCTTTGCAAAGAGGCTCCCTTTGTGGGGCCCAGAGGTACCCTGAGGCTGCGTGGTCTCAGAGAACGGAGCCCCGTCCCTGCCTCTGTCTTCCGAACATGGTGGATTCTGCAAACCCCTTCTCCAGCCTGACAGCTCCTGGCGTCTGCTCAGAGCCCGGGCACTTGGGAAGGGAGGCCCCACTGCCCGGGGTCATGTGAGAAACCTGGTTAGAAAGGGTTAACCAAGGCCACCCTCCAGGAGGCCCCCAGCAGTGCCTGGCTAGGAGGTGGGTGGGACCCTTGGGTGGACACACACAGCAGGGGTGGCACCCAGGGGAACTGTCCCTGTCTGGGCCCAGCACCCATACGCTTGTGACTCCTCCCAGCCCGGGCGGTGGCTCTGCCCATTTCACAGATGAGGACTTGCCCAACACAGCGGGAGTCATGGCAGGGCCAGAGTGTACATGGGGCGACAACCTGTCCCAGCGCATAGAAGGACTCTGCTTCCTCAAGAGGGGCTGCCTGGAGCAGTGCGGGGGCAGAGGGAGGATTATGAGGCCCTATCTGGCTCGATTAGTGATGCCTGCCGTGGGCACGAGGAGGGAGGATGCCCCTGTGTGCTCGCCGGCCCTGGCTAGGACTGCCAACGCACAGGCTGCTATCTTTTCAGGAAAAAATGCTGAGCTGGCCTTCCCCTTCACAGAGAGAGCCCACGGGCTCTGGGAGAGGCCTGGCTGTGGGGGTGGAGAGGCCACGTGACCCGGAGAGAGCCCTTTGTGCAGGTGGGTGCCTCTAAGCCTGAGTAGGAACAGCTGGGCGTGACCAGCTGACCTGGAGCCTGGGCTGCAGGGCAGTGCGACTCTGCCACCTGCTGGCCATGCGGCCGCACCCTCCCCCACCTGGAGCTGGGACAGCAACGGTCCCAGCACCCCCAGGGAGTTCTGCAGGGCTCAGTGACACAGCATGTAAAACGGTGGCTAGCACGGGGAGGAAGCTGGTGACACTGTTTTACTATTTCTAGACAGCCCTGAACATTTTCCAGGTGAAGACCATCAGGCGAGCCCAGGTAGCAATGGCTGAGCTTTGGCGGAAACCACATCTGTGTCTGCAAAGCCGGGGGTTTCTTGATGTCTTCGTGGCCTCGTCTGGACAACCTCAGTGGCGTGTTTACTGTCATTCTCCCCCCTTTACAGACAGCAAGCACGCTTGGGGAGGGAAGTGACTTTGCCGAGGCCACAGGCCACTAAGGTGTGAGGGTGGCAGGTTTGTGGCTCTAGATTGACACCTGTCGGCTGCTGTTCCCTGCATAACCTTCATGAGACCCCCCAACCCCGTCACCTGCCGTGCTAATGCCTCTGCCCTTCCTTACCGCAACCCCTGCACGGCGGGACCCCTGAGGCCTCTCCCTGGCCCTTCCTGGGAGGAGGGCCAGCCCAGAGAGAGGGCGGGCAGAGACAGACGGCCTGCAGAGACCCGATGCATTCGAAGTCCTTGGCACAGAGCCTGATACTTCAATAAATTCCAGTCACTACTTTTATTAAAATGCGAGATGCTCAGGCAGGCAGCGCGAGATGGCTCAGTGCCCATGTGTCCCCACAGCTTGGCCAACTCCTTGGCACCGGTGCCAGGCTGACCCCATCCGGGTCAGTTCTCATCTCGCTGTTGTGGCTATAGCCCAGGGGGCCTCAGGACGGGCTGCAGGAGACTCACCTGTGTTGGGGTCACAGGTGCCATGCTGGTTACAGGTGCAGGGCACACAGTTGGCATAGGGACCCCCTCGGGGGGTCTCCCTCTTGTATCCTGGAGCACAGGACTCACAGAACTGGCCTGAGTAGCCCTGGGGACAGGAGCAGGTCTCCACCCAGGAGGCCGGGGGGGACAGCCCCCACCGGGCGGATGTGAGCTGGACCTCGGTCAGGAACACCTGGCCTGCAGGGCAGAAGAGAAAGACCTGCACGTGTTTTCCCCCAGACCTTCCTGCTCATGTACGCGACAGGCCCAAATAGACAAGGGCAGCCTGTGGATCGATCGATGATGTTGTCACAGGGATGTGCTCAGAAACTCCCCCTGTGACCCGCAAATGTCCGGCTGAAAGGGCAGAAAACCCTCTGTAAACATCTGAGCCTAGACCCCAACTCCACCTTACACATAGGCACGAGGCATTTTTCTTTTAAGCCGGCGATCTCGAGATATCACCCAGGCTGGTTTCGAACTCACGTGATCCCTCCGCCTCAGCCTCCTGAGTAGCTGGGACCGTAGGCATGCGCCACTGTGCCGGCTACAAGGCATTTTCGCATGTTGTACTTGCACATGGAATTGTCCAGGGCGCAGGTGCGTGCAGTGGCGGGGGTGGGGGGAACACTATGCTTTGTTTCGTTCAGAACTTTCCCGACAGCCATTCACCGGTAATGGCAGCCCAGCCCCTGGGTTCAGTCACCATCGTCACTACAACCTGTCCCACCAGTGGCCCCTTCTGCAGCTTCCTCACTCACGATCCCCAGTTAGTTATGATTTCAGAATGACAACTATAAACGCGTTAAAGAATAAGGGTCGATCATACTCAATTGGATGTTTGAAAGTTGATTTTACAGGGCTAGCCCGCAAATGAACGGTCACTCCGCGGAGTGTTCTCCCTCGAGAAGCGATGAAGCACAGCCACCAAGGCCAAGTAAACTTTTCCAAGAACCTCGCTGGCGAAGGGGGCGGGACTGCGCCACCCTCGCTCCCTGTGCCCTGGCCTGCCGGTGACCGCTGCCTTCCGTGACCCCTCACCTACGTCTGCGGGTGACTGCTGACCCCGCTGGCTTCTGTCCCCGCACTGGCCACCCACACTGTGTCCTGCGCCCTGCCCTCCGTGTGTGTGGATGGCTTCTGTGCGTCTCGCTTCTCCTAAACCCCAGCTTGCTCATCACCTCAGGGAAGCTCTGACCACTTCCCATGTGTTCTAGTGTGCTCATGCCTGAGCACTGACCATTTGGAACTCACAGGATTATTTTCATGTCGTTTCCTCCCCTTTTGTGTATTTTGTACGTTATAGTTAGGGCCATTATATATTGGTTTTTTACATTGTGTTCAGGTACATTATCACTAGGAACAGGTCAGAGGATAACCATGCCAATCACTGTGAGACCAGGGTGGGAGGCGGTGACAAGTGCCTGTCAGTGATGTCTGATGACCAGGCCTCCTAATTAGGGAAGTCCTGGAAAACCAGACCGAACGGCTCTTGGGGTGGCTTAGGTGCAATACCGCCAGTGACCAGCAGGGGAGCTGCTGTCCAAGGGAACCGGGGCTGACCTGCGGCCAGCATGGACTGAGGGTCACAGTGGAGTGACCACGTCCACCCTCTTGGCCACTTTGTTGGCCACACAACTGCCCCTTAGAGCTGTCCATCCTCAGGCCCCTCACCTGTCCAGCCCCCGCCTCTGTCTTCAGCTATCATTCCTGCTGCCTTTATAGGTTATGTGACCTTGGGCAAGTGTCCTGACCTCTCTGAGCTCAAATTCCTTCTTGGTAAAATGGGGACAATAACCACCCTGCTGTGAGAAGGCGACAAGGCCATGCCCAAAGGAGCCCAGCCCAGTTCTGGGGTCTCGGGGGAGCGTTGCTATCGTCACTGACCGGCAGGGCCTGGGCTGCGGCGGCCGGCACGGACGCGGAGACTGGTCAGGTTGGTGAGGAGCCGCTGGAAGTGGAAGGCGGGCAGCGGAGGGTCCACGTCCTCGGAGGTCTCCTGCAGGCTGGCAGGGAGGAGCAGTCAAAGCAAGAACCCGACACGGGGCGGACGGCGCCAAGGACTGAGAATGACCACAGGGGCGTCAGAAGTGTGCCCGGACCTGGGAGACTACCCTGAGTCCCATCTCTCAGGACAGAGGGGACACTTACAGGAACCTGAGCTGGGCCTCCCCGGCGTCCTGGGGGCTGGACACGCTGGAGTGCCTCAGAGACAGGGCCAAGCCTGCCCCTTCCAGCCTCAGATGCACGGGGGGCGGGGACCCCCCGGGGGGCACCTGGAAGGTCAGCGTGAGGGGCTGTCCATAGCTGAGCCGCTGGTCTCCCAGGAACTTCTCTGAAAACAAGAGAAGAAAGCGTCGGCAGTCTTCACATAGTCAGCTTCATTTTAAATGTCTATACTGATTTTATTAACAACATTCAGACAAGATAAAACCGCAGCGAGTACAAAACCAAGGCTCCCTGCACAGCAGACCCTGGGGGTGGCCAGCCCACACCCCTGCAGCCCGTCTGTCCCTGGCTTTGCAGGTGTGTGACCCAGGCAGTCATGCTGGGCCCCACGCTTGGTTTCACGCTCTGCTGTCACTGTCCTGACATTCTTAAAAATTTTGTCTTTGAACTTGGGTTTGTAGGTGACGTCTGCTGGGACAGTAGAGTCTGTACGTGAGCAGCGCCTTGCCACCCACCCCCGTGTAGCCTTCACGATGGCCCATGGGCACAGAATTCCCGTGTCCCCAACGTGTGGGAGGTTGGCCTCAAGGCGAGCACGCGGAAAGCGCGCTCTGGCTGGTTAAGCAGAGACGCTGCCAGGCCCAGGCCGCGCCCCCATTCCCATCAGAACTTGCTCCGAACTTGCAAGCAGGCCGCGGGATGCCTTCTCACTCCGTTATTTCTCTGTGTTAGCCAAACATGCCGAAAACCATGACCTACAAGGAGAGGGAACGGGCCACCCGTCCTTCCTCTTTTCCCCTCAGACTTTGCTCACTCCCGAGCAAGCAAGGGTAGACCGTGTTGGCAGAACATGCGCGCATCATGAAGCAAACAGCAATGGCTGGGGTCGTTTTGTGCAGTGTTTCCACTGTCCTGATGAGAACAAAATACGCCTCTGCGTGTGAGCTACGAAAAACAGACTACGTCACTTCAGTGATTCCACACGTGAGTGAAATGCTCCGGTATTTGCTTGCATCAGCACTGCACAACATCAAAATGAAGGATAAAATTCATGCCAATGACTTAAAATGTTAATTTTTCTTTACCTAGAACCGCATCAAATAGCAAACAAACAAACAAAAAAACACCAGGAAAACTAAGGGTGAAACTGCAGAAAAAAGGACAAAGCATTTATATCTTCCTACCTTTAATGGCACTTTTCCTCTATGTTTTTGGAAAATTGTAATTCAGTCGCCCGCCCTGGCGGGCAGGTCCTGAACAAGCTGCCAAGTCCCTGCATCCCTTGCCCAAGAGCGCTTTCTGGCTGGAGCGTTTGCTCACCTGTGCGGGGAGCAGCCTACAGCCGGGGACCTGGAGGCCCCACCCCAGCTGCACCCCAATTTGGCACCAGCATCAGTCACCGGTGTGAGTGCGACACCCAGCTGCCATCCCTGTCCGCCCACAAGCCACAAGTGAGATGATGCTACTCGCTGTTCCGCCGCTCGCAGGCTCTGTGACGCTGCGTCAAGGTCCGGCAACCGGCTCAGCAGCCGTCTCTGCCGCACTCAACACCTGCCACACATCTTTGCCCCGGGTACGGATGCCAGCGGGCAGGACGCTGAAGGGCCCCGCTGGGCCAGAGGGTACGTGTGTTCGTTAACCCTGAGAGCTGTCACCAAGCAGCCCAGAGGCTTGTTTCTGTGTTCCCTTCCCGCCATGCCCTCACCCCCAGCTGCCCAGGGAGTCCCAGGAGCTGCCAGCCACGGGTGCTGTAAGGGCAGGGCGTCCACCCGCCTCGCCCCTGCAGTGTGCCCAGCACCCAGCACACACTTTGACAGCTGGCGTCAGTCACCGGTGCGAGCATGATGCCCAGCTGCGAGAGTAACTCCTTTCTCTCAAATATGTCAACAGAGCCAAAAGCGTGTTTTCCGTTCATGGGGAAACAGAGCCAAGAGCATGTTTTCCACTCTGAGCTTGGAGCACCTGCCCCACGAGGAGACCTGAGGGTTTCTGCTTCCTGGCTGCGGGGCACACGCTCCTGACACCTGTGGCATCACCTCCCAGCCCCTCCTGGAGAGGGAGGGAAAGGGCAGGACTGGCCGGGCAGCCAGCAGACCCCGGACCGGGCCACAGTAGAGCTGAGAATGGGCCCCCGGCTCCTGGCTCTGGGACTGAGACAGCGTCCAGGAAACCAGAGTTGCCTTGATGGGCGGGGGTGGGCACGGCAACCAAGACCTTCCTTCCCTCTGCAGGAATCCCATGGCTCTGGGCATGGCGTGCGGTGGCCTGGCGGGGTGATGGGGCTGACGGGGCCTCTGTGGCCCTGAAGGAGCCCCAGGTGGCTAGGCTGTGACCAGGAAAACGGGGGTTTCAAAACACACCATGGTCTGATGGCAGAATAACGACCCCCAAAGGTGTCCATGTCCTCATCGCTGACCCTAGGTAGGGGGACATCTCGGATGACCCATTTGGGCCCCGAGTTATCACAAGGGCTGGTTAAAGACAGAAGAGGGAGCCAGGAGAGCCAGAGTCAGGGATGGGACGTGGGAAAGACCCAGCCTGCTTTGACGACGGGACCACGAGCCAGGACATGCAGGCAGCGACTAGAAGCTGGGGGAGCCAACAGATGGATTCTCCCCTGGAGCCTCCAGAAGGAACGTGGCCCTGCTAGCACCCTGATTTTAGCCCCACGAGAGCCACTTCTGGGCGCCAAAACACTAACGGAATAAATCTGTGCTGTCTGCTGTCATTATATTTGAGGCAATTCGTCACAGCAGCCGAGGAAACCCACACAGGCAGCTTGCTCTGCCGGGCTGGCAGGTACCTGGGGCCATGAGCTCCTCCTCTTCCTCCGGCCTCAGCAGGACCCCACTCAGGCTCCATCGTGGGGGGTGTCCGGGGGCCCCCACACTTCTGGCCCACCAGCCCTCGGCTCCTAGACAGCAAACACAGACGCACACACCCGTCAGTGTGAGGCCCTGGAGGGTGGCTTCCAGGTGACAGCTCCAGCAGAGGCCCCGGGTGGGAGGGAGCCCCAGGAGAAGGCTCTGCCTGGGGCAAGGACAGACCTTGGGGCCTGCCCTGTCCCTTCAGGGGGGTTTTGAGCTCGACATGAAGACACGGCCTGGAGACCCCCACGTGGGGGCCTAGGGACATGAGGGCCGTCGGTAACAATCCTGGACGTGACCTTGTCTTCCGGGCTTCAGAGAACTTTCTCGCCCGTGACCTCACCAGGCTGTCCTTCCAGGTATGTGTGTCATTAACACTACTGCCCGCAGGGAGGCCACCTGGTTAGGAAGGCCCAGCCAGGACGGGAACCCAGGCCTCCTGGTCCCCAGGGCTGGCTCAGTCTGCCCCCTTCCCTCTGGCTGGGGCAGTAAATGCGGGGCACAGTCCAGCACAGAGCAAATGACCTCAAGGGGGAGCTCTCTAGGGGAGTAGCTGGGCAATAGGATGGAGACCCAATACCTGGGGCACCTGAGGGCCGAGAAGGAAGGGATGGAGAGACAGGAAGACATCAGAGAGGGGAGGCCCAGGCTCCTTGGTGCTGGACTAGGCTCTGCCCCTTGTGGGCTGTGTGACTCTGGGCAAGTTACTTAACCTCTCTGAAGCTGCAACATGGGGGCAATGAAGCACGTATGGCCCAGGCAGCAGTTCTCAAAGTTGGTCCGGAGACCCCAGGAGATCCCCGGGACCCCTGCTGGGGGTCCATGAGAGCAAACTATCTTCTTACTAATAGTAAGATGTTATTTGCATTTCTCGCTCTTTTTCTCTCACAAGCATTCCATGGAGCTTTCCAGAAGCTGCAGGAAGCATGACACCACCGCAGACCGAGCAGCAGGAGCCGACAGAGCATGAGCCTCTCTTCGGCCAGATGGTAAAGTGATTTACGAAAACACGAAGCGAGCAGTGCTCTTCCCACAAAATGTTTCATCTTTCAGAAAGTGTTATTTTTCATGGAACTGTGTTATTTTTATTACATAATAGGTTCGCTATGGCTGTTTTTAAATGAATTAATAAGTATTTTTTAAAAATCTGTGTTTTCATTTCTAGTACAGTAAATATCCGAGTAAGCAACCCGCATGAATAAAAGCGCTTTGGTCCTCAGGAACCTTCAAGATCAAGAATGTAAAGGGATCCAGAGACCAAAAAGTTTGGGAACCGACAGCCAAAGGCGACTGTGAGAGAAAATGAGACGACACCCTGCAGCGCCCAGCCCAGGCCTGGCTCCAGGTGACAGCAAGTCCTGACACTGTTCTCAGGGTCTAGCAAATGAGCCTGGCCCTGCGCGGACACCGGACTCCAGGCAACACGCGACCGAGAGCCACACGCCCCTTGGTCCTGCTCTCTGCGCGGCGTCCAGCAGAGGGCGTGCGGCCCCCGCGTCTGGGGCGCCCCAGGGCCAGCCCTGAGGTTCTGTCCCTGTCCCCACTCCTCCGGGGACCCAGGCGGGAGGAGGGGGTGCCCCATGAGGCCTAGGCGCGCTCTGATCTGATGCAAAGCTCAGCGCTCTGCTCCGAAGATTGGCTGTGCCACCTGGAGTCGGGACCCAGACAGGCTGCAGGGCGGGTAAGACTCAGGAGCTGATGGACCCGGCACCAGCGGCTGAGCTCTGTGAGCTCGGGCAAGTGACCCGCCTTTCCTGGGTCTCAGCTACCTCACTGTAAGAGGGGAATGAGATTCCCTGCAAGTCAGGAGCTAGCACGATGCCTGGCATACAGCCGGGGCCCAGTAAGTGGAGGCCAGGAGACTGAGCCTGAATCCCCAGGCTTGAGACACACAAGGCAGGCCGATCTTGACAGGGTGCATAGAAACTCCCCTCCAGGATCCAAGGGGTGCCGCAGCCCCGGCCCCCACCCAGGAGTATAAAAGCAAAAACTCAGGGACCCGGGAGGGACCTGGGGGTTACAGGGAGGTCCTGGGGAGCCACCGTCTCACACCGACCCCACCTAGGCTGTGTGGGCTCCTCTCCACTATGGGGGGTGGCCGAGGGGCCGCACCCACCCACCCCACCAATGCAAGATCTCCCTAGGGCAGGACGGCCTGCCTGCTGGCGGTGGCTGTGGGGGACACGCCTTACCCTGGCGGAAATCGGAGCGGATGTGGTGCACCTGGAACTGGGCGGCGGCCGCACACGCCTTGGAGTGGCCGTAGCAGAAGCAGCTGCTGCAGCCGGCGGGATTGTGGGACTGCAGGTTAAACGTCCCCGGGCGACACCTGGAACGGAGAGGCAGGACATCCCCACAGGGGCCTGAGTCCAGCATCACTGGGGAAACTTTCTTTGAACATTTTTTCCCAGAATTACAGAAGAGTTGCCAAGACGGTACAAATGATTCTCTTATCGGCTTCACGTAGCATCCCTTGAGGCCGACACCCGACATTACCAGGTACATTTATCAACGCTGAGACGCTAACATTGATTAACGTCTGCTAAACTCCAGCTTCCGTCAGGGCTTCGCCACGTGTTCCAGTCCTGCCCGTTCTCTGCCCCAGGACCCCACCCGGGCAGAGGCACTGCGTTGAGTGCCGTCCTTGTTCTCCTCCACCTGTGACCACGTCTTGGTCCTTCTGTGCTTGTCAGGACCTTGACGCTTTTGAAGAGCACCGGGCCGGTATTTTTTAGAATGTCCTGCAGTTGGGGCTTGTCTGTTTTCTCATGAGCGGATGGGTTACGGGTTTGGGGAGGTGTCCGGCTCATCACATCACGTGGGGGCTCTGTTAGCTTTGTCAGCAGGGAAGGGTGTGGCCTGCCTGTCTCTATGGGACAATGCCATGTTCTAGGCGTCGGAAGGGAGTCACTGAACCCAGCCCACTCCCAAGGGGAGGGGACTTAAGATCCACGTCCTGGTGGGAGAAGCATCAAAGAACTTATGGACATGAGTTATAACCACCACAGCCATTAACTAGTATTTTAACAGAGCTACTTTGAGGCTGTGCAAATATCCCGTCTCTCCTTAAGGTCCTGCCCGCTAACACCGGCACTCCCCAGTGGCCACGCCCTGCAGTGGTTTTCTATTTCCTTCATTCCGTCTGCATCGTCTGGAATCCTTCCACAGATTTGTCCCTTTGCCCCCTTCTATTTATTTATTCAATCGTCTGTTTACATCAGTATGGATTTGGGGGTGTTTACTCTATTCTCTGGGTCGTAATCCAGTAGTATCATCATTTATCTTGTTGCTCAAATCCTTCCAGCTTTGGGAGATCCTCCAGGCTGGCAATGGTGTCCTTTCGACACAGGAGCCTGTCCTGGCTTGGTGGCCTTGTTTGTGCCTGTGCTTGTGTCTTAGCACTGCCTCGCTTTCTGGCACCGCGAGATGCCCCGGGCTCACCTTGTCTTTTCCCTGCCCTAGAACCAGCTCTTCCCCCAGCAGCCCCAGGGCGTCAGACGCAAAGCCAGGGAGAGGAGACAGCTTGTACGCAGGGAGCTGCGCCTGTGTCTGCCCGCCAGCCCCACTGCCGGGGCTCAGAGGCCGTCTGAACACTCGGAAGAGGCCGTTTATAGGCCGCGTGACCTGGGACAGGACCCTTCATCTCACTGGGGTTCTGATGCCCCATGTGCACCGCAGTGGGACGCAGGGATGGAAAACAGCCTCGAGTCTCAGCGCAGTTGGTAGGGGCTTCCTGAAGCAGGGTGTTGAGAAGGATCTTGAGGTCACAGTAGGGCTCGTGGTCACGCTATCCTCCATCCGTGACGACTGCACGGGGAGGGGGGGGTTATGGTACGAACCCCGTGTACTTGCTATCTCGGGATGAGATGATCTCTCCTACCCTTTCCAGCTCTTTCTTTTCAGAATTCCGAGCTGGGAAAGAAGATGTCTTTTCTCAGCTTAGGAACCATCCGTGGTGTCGGGCCAGAGTGAACAGGGCCATAGAGCCTTCGGGCAACTTCCTGGACGGCAGATCCACCGTCCCCCTGCCCCGCCCTCCACTGCGCAGCCTTGGTGCCTCATTGGGGACCCCTGGGGTCACTTCCAGAGGCTCACTGCTGGATCGGCTCACTCACCTGTCACACAGGTTTCCCTCCACATTCTCTTTGCAGGGGCAACGCCCACTGCGGGGGTCACAGGTGCCCAGGCTGCCAGCAGGATCGCAGGTGCAGGGTCTGCCAAGCAGAGTGTCCAATGAGCAACTTCAGAGTGGGAACCACCCACCCCAGGGAGAAAACCCCTTGCCCTTCCCTGTTCCCGAGACGGTCAGGAGGCAGGCAGACCCCAGAGCCTGCCCCGGTTCCCACCTTGCCAAGGAGTGACGCACCCACCCACTCACCCAGCCTCCCATCCTTCCATCCATCAACCTCCCTTCCACCCATTCACTCACCCATCCATGCATCTCTCCATTCATCCCTCCTTCCACCCACTCACATGACAAGGCATGACGCCCACCCTCATGAACCCCACGGTCCAGTGAGCATGGCCCCTGCACGTGATATTTGTCGTGGGAGGAGACCTACAAGGGCTGTGGCAGCACCAAGGAGGGGCACCTGGCACAGCGTGGGCGTGGAGGTGAGTGGCAGGTGGGGGGGGTGGGGGTGGCACCTCAGCCCAGAACTGATGAGTGAGGAGTCTGCTAGACACGAAATGCTCCAGGTAGGAGGAATGGCATATGTCAAGGTCCGGAGGCCAGAGAGACCCTGGACAAGCAGCCAGGTCCCTGTCCAGTAGTCAGTTTTATGCCCAGAACCACTGAGTGTTTTTGCAGGGACTGTGAGACTCCCCAGCCCCACCCCAACATGTTTCCACATTTCCAACGCCTTTCAAATACACGAGGAAGCTGTTGTCATTAACCAATGCCAAGTTCTTTTAAAAGTGCTTCTGAATTTATGAGAGCTGTATTTATTTATCTGGTCATTGTATATTTTCTCAGGGGAGTGGTGGTAAACGTGCCAGCCGGCCCTTCTGAGGTCCAGGCCCGGGGGCCCCTGCCCACCTCTCCCCTGGGCCGTCCCACCAGGTGCCATGGACCTTGCCCAGGTGCCTAGAGCAGGACCCCAGGAGCCACCTCCATGCCTTCCTCCTGGTCACCACGTCTTGCCAGCTCCGCCTTGCGAGGGGCTCTAGAACCTGCCTGTTCTCCACTCCCCACAGCCCAGCCCCCCAGGCCGCCGAGGCCCCACCGGACCCTGTTCCTCTGCAGTCCTGCCCTGTTTGCCTGTGCTGAGCTTCACCTTGCACTTGCCGCTGAGCCTCTGCCGTGCTCTTCCCCGGCCTGGAACCCCCGTCCCTCCCCTCTGCGTGTGTCTCTCCGCCTCCCCAGGGCTGGGCGTCCCTGATCCTCCCCAGGACACAGAATGCGGGATGCTGAAGATGGGGAGGGAGGAAGGAGGGGAGGGGACAGCCAATATCCTGTCCCTCACACTCCCGGTCAGCCAGTCCCAGTACAGCACCGAGCACCCGTCCTGGGCCCCCGACGCCCGCACCCTGGCCGGCCGCCCTCACCTGCAGCCTCCCTCGCTGAGGGAGTGGAACCCGGGCAGGCAGCGGTCACACTTCCAGCCGGTGACAGTGGGCTTGCAGGCGCAGCTTCCCGCGCCATCGCACTGCAGGTGCAGGGAGCCTGGGGGAGGAAGGGCACGGGGCAGCGGAGGCCACGCCAGGGCGCGGGCGGCGGCTGGGGCAGCGGGGCCCACTCACCTGCTGGGTGGCAGTCGCAGGGCTGGCAGGGCACCCGCAGGTCCCAGTGGTAGAAGTTCTCCTGACAGCGCTCGCAGTGTGGCCCGGCCGTGTGGTCGCGGCAGTGGAGACAGCGCCCGCCGTGGCCCGTGCTGCGGAAGAGCTCCCGGTCGAACATGCACTCCTCGGAGCGGCCACTGCAGTTGCAGGCTGTGGGCGGAGGCGGGAGGGCGCGGGTGAGCCGCCCGCTCGGCCTCCCTGTGCTGAATGAGCAGGCAGCGCACGGAAGGGCAAGAGCATGGTCCAGAATGGAGTTCAGGCTCAGCTTGATCAAGGATATGGGGACCAACTGACTGATTTTCCCCAACAGGACACTCTTAAGAGCAAAGGGGGCACAGTCAGTAAATACATCAAAACAATGGAGAAACAGGACCGGGAAAGCCAGGATCTACGGTCACCTGGTCACAGATCAGAGGCTGACTGCTTCCTCATGTGGGTGTATGGCTCAATCCAAAAATCCCTGTGGGCTCTCCAAGCCATGATAATAGTATGGATCTAGTTCCCAGTGGCTGAGATCACTCAGGAGCACAGAAAATGCCAGTCACCCCTCGTTTGCTCATTAGGTCATTTTAAAGAGTACGTGTGAAGGCCCGGCTGCATCTCGGCTCCCGCGGCGGGCCAGGGCGCAGGCAGCGAGTGGTGTGGACCTGGTTGCTGGGGGCCAGGTGCACAAGCAGGGCTGTGACAGAGCAAGGGGGCTCTGGGAGCTGGGAGCAGGGGCCCCTGTGGTCAGGCTGGGTGACGGGGCCAGTGCTCCTGGAGGAAGGTGTGGCTGTACTGATTCTGAGGGTCGCCGGGAGGGGCGGGGTGCGGGGGGCGTGCTGCAGGCGGGAGGTAGACTGCGTGCGGCAGGGCCAGAGGAGCAAGGGTGGCTGGGCGTAAGCGTGCCAGCTGCGGGTGGCATGCGTGTGACGGGAGGGGAGGGGATGCCGTGCAGTGGCGCTGAGCAGGGGCGGCTGTGAAGTCAGAGGTGGCAGAGCTGCTCCAAGGAGGCTGGGCTGCTTGGTCAGGGGGCGTCAGCCTGGAGCCAGGGGAGCTGCAGGAGGGTCTAAGCAGGATGGATGTTACTGAATTCCCATGTTGGAAGGAGCCTTGGCTGCAAGTAGAGGAGGGAAGAGGGAGCTTCAGGCACCCAGAGGAGAGGTGGCAGGGCCAGGACCAAGGCGCTGGCTGCGTAGGACTCAAGCGAGATGGACCGGAGGTACGCTGACGGGGCAGAACTCAGGGCCGAGGGGCTGCCTGGGCTGTGGTCGGCCTGAAACCCCAGCGTCCAGGCTGGGGTCTGGGAGGACAGGGATGTGATCATAGGGCTGAGGACATGGCAGAAGAAGCAGTTTGGCCAGATGTGTCCCCACCATGGAAAGAGCTACAGGCCCAGAACGTGCGAGCCGGCTGGCATGGCTTCCTTGGCCTGGGAGGACTCCCTGGTAGAGGCGGCCAGCGGGGCAGCAGGAACCCATTAGGGCCCCAGGGCAGCCCCTGCAACAGTGCCCTGTCCCTCGGAACAGGCTGTCCCCTCCCTGCCCCAGTTCTGGCTGCCAGTGGCCCAGCCCAAGACTGCAGGGCCAGAGCTGCCTGTGTAGACACTGCCCCTGCCGGCAGCAGCAGCGCCAGCCGGGACCCAGGCCTGGCGACAGCCTGAAGGAAACCAGATGGCTGTGTGGGGACAGGGCAGGGCTTGGGAGCCGGGCGGCCGGCACAGCAGCCAGCAGGGGAGGCGGCAGATTCCCACTCGTAGTGCCGCGCCCCTGGGGAAGGTATGACGGCACCGTCCCCTCCCCAGTGTCTCCGTGAGGTTAGGCCATGGAAGCCACATCACATGGGGAGAAGGGGACGTCAAAGGGCTGCCCAGGGGCCTGTGGGAGAGGCTGGGAGAGAGGGGGGCAGGTCGGCACCCTCTGTGCATGGGGTGGCCTGGCTCTGATTAGTGGCTGGGCCAGGAGCAGCTAAAACAAAGGAGCAAGTCGGGGCCTTGCGGGCCCTTCTGCCACGGCGCCTCTGCTGGGGGACTTGGTCTGGGGAGCTCTCTGGGGGGAAGGACGGGGCATGAATGCACCCCCAGGCTCCTGTCAGCTCCCCATCTCTGCAGAAGCACAGGGACCCCAAGCTGCCCACGGGCTGCCCCAGGAGCAGCCCCCACTGCGAAGTTCCAGCAGTTTTTTCCGCCGGCCTGCACCAGCAGCCTCAGGCCTGATGCCCCAGGACACTCACGCAGACACTCGTGGGCGGCCTCGGCCGTGCCCCGGGCCCACGGGCGGTCCTGGAAGAAGGGCAGGCAGCGCTCGCAGTCGGGGCCGGTGGTGTTGTGCTGACATCGGCAGGCCAGCCGGCCCGCGCCGTCGGGGCCGCACTCGCTGGCATGGCCGTTGCACTTGCACCTGGGAAAGACACGGAGGAGGAGAATCGGAGGCAGCCGCAGGGCAGACGAGGGGTGAATCTCCAGGCAGCCCCCCAGTCCACCACTCAGTCCCTACTGAACACCCCCCGCGTGCCTGGGGGGCGGCAGTGCCAGAGAACTGACCACGTGGGGCCGGCGTAAGCTCTGTGCAAAATAAAGCACTTCGTCTTCACAAGCCTGTTTCCCCTCCATTCGACAGACAGGAGAACTGAGGCATGGGGCAGATGCCCACCTAGGGACGACTCTGTCACCTTAGTCTCCTGGGTGGAGGGGGCCCAGCGGTCCAGGGACAATAGGCATGGGGGGCCAGGAGGCTGCCTCTTGTGGATCTCCTGTGACCATGTCTCAAAGGGCAAGAGGTTGCCCCACTCTGGGGACACGTCCCCAGTGAGTCTGTTTCTGAGTGCAGCCCTGGGCCCACGTCCCCAGGCCACCCGCAGGACCTGGAGATGGACTTGGGCAGGAACGAAGAGGCGCTCCGGGGTCATGCGGCGTGCTTGGCAGAGCCCGACCCTGCGCACAGCCATCCCTGTCACAAGAAGCCAGACTGAGCCACTTCGAGGAGGACCATGGCCTTCCACTCCTGGCCTCGCTCTGGCCGGCCCTGGACCAAGGCAAGCTGTCCCCGCAGGAGCTGCACCACCGGGGTGGGGGACCGTCCTTAACCCCTTTTCACAGGTGAGGGAACAGGCTCAGGCTCGGAGGCAACTGGCGCTGAGTGGCAGAGCTGGACGCTGCTGTCCTCTCCTGCTCCACAGACCCTGGGCTCCTGGGCACTCCACTGGCCACCTGGTGGCTCCCACAGGCCACGTTCCACGCTCTGCCTTCAGTGAATGTCGACGAATCACTGGCCACTGCCAGCCCCCCGTGCTCTCTCTTATTTGGGGACATGGGGTGCGGGAAGGCACACGGCAGTGCTTCTTCACAGCACCCTGCATTTCCGGGGGGGAGGCAAGCACAGGCAATCGTAGAGACAGTGGTCACCAGGGAAGTGACAAGGGACCAACTCCTGTCCCAGACGGGGTGCTGCAAACACCTCCCTCCTCCACGAAGCCCTCTGACCCCAGGGAAGGACAGAGAGATCCCGAGGACCATTATGGGCCGGGGCCCAGGGCCACTTGCACCCTGCCAGGAGCAGCCTTCCCCAGCCAGCTGGCGGTCCCAGGGTGGTCTGATTTCACAGCTGGGCCCCAGATGTTCTCTGGCCCAAAGCCCCCTGATGGCAGGCACTGGCGCTCACGGCACTGTCTGCCCGCCACCCCTCCTGGGAGGTTTGACCCGACACACAGAGTGTACTGGGGAGGGGCAGAGGGGACCTCACAGCCCCCCCAGTGGTCCTACCCTCCAAGCCCTAGGCTTCCCCGGACTGTGCAGACACCCCAGGTGCAGGCGGTTGGGCCCCACGGCCCCCATCCGTGTCCATCTCACCAAAGCCACCTGTGTTCCTGAACCTCAGAAGCCCAGAGCTGGGTGTCAATCCGCTTCCCATCCCCAAACTGCTTCTCCACACCCCCCCCCCCCCCCCATTGACCTTGAACCTTCCCCCTTGGGTTGGGGGCGTTTTAAAAATTTTGGGTTTGTTGTTCCCTCGGCCAATTCTTTTTGCGGTTTCTTGTTGCCTTGGGTTGGGGCCTTGCCTTTTCCCTTGCTTCCGTTCTTGGGGTTACCTTTTTTCCCGGCAGGCCCCCCCGGGCCTTTTTTGCGGCCCCCGGTTGCTTGGGGCGGGACCCCCCTTGGGGGGGGGACCCCCCTTGCGGCCCCCGGTTGCTTGGGTTGGGACCCCCGGGTTCTTTTCAAGGAGGAACCTTGGGAAGGTTTTTTGTTGGGGCCTTTGTTGCCCCTTGGTTCCCCGGCCTTCTTTGGGCGGCCGTTGCCGGGGGGCGGGGCCTTGGATTTTGGGGCGGGGCGGGGCTTTTGCTTTCCGGGCCCCCGGTTTTTGGGGGGGGGGTTGGTTTTTGCGGGGGAACCGGCCAAACCCCCTTGCCGGGCGGCCAGGGGGGGTTGGGGGGGGGCCGGGGCCTTTTTTTTTGGGGGGGGGGGGGGGAGGGGCCTTCCGGGTTGGGGGGGGGGGTTGCAAGGCCGGGCGTTCCGGAAGTTGTTGGGCTTGGGGTTGGGTTGGCGGGGGCGGGGGGGGGTTTTGGGTTGCGGGTTGGGGCGGGCCCCCAGGGCTTCCTTCTTCCCCCTTGGGCCCCGGGCCTTGGGGCCTTGTTTCCCCGGGCTTCCCGGGGCCGGGGGCCTTGCTTCCGGCTTCCTTGCGGCCCCCGGGGAGTTCGGCCCGGGGTTGTTGTTGGGCTTGGGGCCCTTTGGGTTCTTTGAGGTTTTGTTCCCCAACGTTTTTGGGCGGTTTTGGGGGGTTGGGGGGTTGGTTGTTGTTGCCCCCTTCTTGGGGCAAAGGGGGGGGGGCCCCCTTCGGCGGTTCCCCTTTTTTTTGCCCTTCGGTTTTGTTGGCGGGGCCGGCGGGCCCCTTGGGGCTTCTTGGGGCCCGGGCCGGGCCCGGCCAATTTTTGGGACCCTTGCGGAATTGGGGGGCGGTTGTTTTGGGTTCCGGCCGGCTTGGGCCGGGCCCCCCCCGGCGGTTGCCCTTTTGTTCGTTTTTTTGGGGCTTCGTTTTCCCCTTTTTTGAATTGGACCAGGGCAGTGCCTCCCCCACAAAGGAGTCTGGAGGACGAAGGCCAGTGTCCGTGCTGGGCGTGAGTCTGGCACGTGCTCAGGAGGCAGCAGAGGTGGGGGGGCACGGCGGCCCATCTGAGACCCCGCCGTGCAGGGCCCCACCGTTCCAGAGGTCATCGGAGGGAGGACGTGCTCCAGCGACCTCCTGCCCTGCTCGGCCGGCCCCCGCGTGGGGCAGGCCCTTGGTTTCTCGGCCTCTCACATGCTGAGGACCCAGCTCCCGCAGACGGGTCACCTGTCCCAGGTGACATCTCTCCCACTGGAAGGGAAGCCCCAGGAGAGCAGGGGCTTGGGGCCCTTGTTCTCGCTTCATCCCCACCCCCAGGCCCTGCCCGGCAGGCAGCAGCCGCTTGATAAATACTTGCTGCTCGCTGAGTGAGCAGCTTCCGTGGGAGAGCGCGGGGGAGTGGGGGACCCACGTGCAGGCTGACATTTCCATCCACCTGCTGCTGCAATCAGCCGCGGCTGTGCCGCATGTTAATCAGCGTTTCCACTCAGCCCAGGCGCCCCCAGTTCGGCGATCAGGCCGTCAGCACAGAAAACGAGCTCCCGCAGTCTGTCCTCTCCCCAGCACGGCCCAGGCCGGGGGACCCCTCCTGCTCCCCCGAGCTCAGCAACCCAGAGCAACTGCCGGGGGAGAGGGGTCCGGCACCAGAACTAGGAGGGAACTGCAGCGCTCAGCCGAGTCTGTGCTGGAGTTTGCAGGCCCCCGTCGCTCCCCAAGCCACCCAAGGCTGCGCCTCTCGAGGTCGAGGTCCGTGTGCATTCTGCAGCCAACTCAGAGGAGGAGGGCGGGGACCGAGACCTGCATTTGTCACCAGCGCCCAGGCGACACTTGTGCTGCTGGTCGCTGGAGCAGCGATGGACCAAGGAGCTGAGGCCTGGGCTGGAGAAACCCAGCCGTCGCAGCCGAGGGCACCAAGACTCCTCTTTCTCCGGAAAAAGTGCCCTCTGGAGAACTCAAACCAGCCAACGTCAGGGCTGAAGGGGAGCAGCAGCTGCTGCCCCTCTTGATGTGACTAGGGCAAGGTCCCCACAGCAGACCTAGGAGTGGGATCGTTTTTACCCCATTTACAGACGACGAGACGGAGGCTCAGAGAGGGTAGGCATTCTGCTCCAAGTTGCACAGCTGGTGCGCGGCAGAGCCGGGATTCGGGTCTCTCTGTCCCCAAGGTCCAGGCTTTAACCACTAGGCTAGCCCGCCTTCCTGTGATTGCCCCACACCCTTGTCATATGGTGGTGGGGCCCAGAGAGGACAATAACTTGCCCAAGGTCTCTGGCCCATTAGTGACCCTCTCCCAGGCTCCTGCACGCTTCCTGTGACCTGCTCCAGCAGTCTGTGAAGATGACAGCAGTGAAGGGGCAACATCTCTGAGACACAGGACTGGAGCCGGGGCACTCCTTGATGCCTTAAAGGTCACTTTAGGGCAAACCAAAGCCCCTGTGCCCAGACGATGGGCGTTTGCAACTCGCACACGCTCCCGCTTGCAGGACGAGCGAGCACCGGAGCGGGCCGTGGACAGACCCCGGCTCCAGACGGTGGCGTCAGGAGAAGCAGGAGGTGGGCAGCTTGAGCTCCGAGGTCAAAGTGGTGCCCAGGCGACCACTCAACTCTGGTGGCCTGACTCTGCAACGGCCGGGTCCGCTTCTCCCCCAAGGTCCTTGGCCCCTCGATGGGGACAGAGGGACCTGGGCCCAGCAGCCACATCCCTCGGTGCTCCGTGTCCCTTGCAGAGGCACCCCACCCCCCAGATGTGTCCAGAGAGGGGACGAGGGCAAGCTGGACTGGCTTCTCTTTGTCCTCAGACCTTGGCTTCTGCCTGGGAGAAACGGGGGAGGCGTTTCTGAAAAGGTCATTTCTCCACCGGGGACAATGTCCAGAACACATGAGGCAACAAGTCAGAAAATCTCCGCCTGCCCCGGGTCTCAGGTCAAGCCCCTCCGCAGGTGACAGCAGCACAGACGCAGGGTGGAGCGGGGCTGGCCCTGCCGCTTGTCTTCAGCTGACCTTGGCTGAGGTTTTCTCAGCCACAGAGCTAGCAGCCCCATGGAGAAGAAACGAATTTTAAGAAAAAATCATGATGAGGACGTGTGGACATTTCTAATGGGACGAGCAGGCCCTGGATGTCTGCAGATGTGGCTCTGGCTGGTAAAGGATTCCCCTGGCCCAAAGACAGGCCCGGCCCTTTGCCCCTGGCTCCTGGGAAGTGACCTCGAAGCCCCTGCAATGTCCCACCTGACAGGAGTGTCCTCCCTTGGGCCACATCAGAGTCTATGCTGACCCCGTGGTCTCTGGTGGGGGCTGGGGCCACACAGTGTCGGCCTGACCTCTGCAGGGGCTGGAGATGGGTCAGCCGTGTCTACGTGGCCAACCTCCGATAAAAACCCTGGACTTCCAGGCTCGGGTGGGTTTCCCTGCTGGCAATGCTCCGTGCACACTGTCACACGTTGCAGCTGGAGAAGTGAGCGCTATCCACGGGACTCCGCCGGGAGAGGACACTGGAAGCCTCGGCCTGGTCTCCCCCGGCCCCCGCCCCGTGCTCCTCTTCCCTTGGCTGGTTTAGCTCCTGTCCTTTTACCGCAATAGATCCTAACCGCGAGCATGACAGCTTTCCGAGCACAGTGAACCCCCGAACCTGCGGGTGGTCTTGGAGAGACTCGTGTCTTCTTGGGTGCACGGCCTGGGCAAGACCTAACCTCCTTCTGGGCCTCAGTGTCCCCCTGTAAACACACAGGATTCTAACCCCGGCCCCCTTGTTATCCCAGACGGGCTAAGGAGGTGCTCTGAAAGTCTCGCGGGGAGGCCCGTCTGCCCCACGGTAATGGCCTGCTAGCTGCCCAGCGCCCTGCGACGCCAAGCAGACCAGCACGCCTGTCTGTGGCTGATGGCGGCTGACACATGGAACTGGACACGCAGGGGCCAATACCGGCAGGACTCCACGCCCGAGCAGACCCACCTGGGCTGAACTGGAGGGCCCTGGACGGGTGGCCGTGGCCACGGGCCTGCTGCTCTCTCTGCCGTGGGACGAGGACGGGAAGCTATGGCGCGCACTGGTCTGCAGGGGGAATAGGCGTCCCCTGCATGCCAGGCACTGTGCCGGCCACTACCTACCTTCCCGCCACCCCAGAGCGGCACTCTCCAAGGTGGCAGCGCTAGCTACGTGTGTCTATTTAAATTAAAATTCATTAAAAGTAAATACAATTTAGGCCGGGTACAGTGGCTCACGCCTGTAATCCTAGCACTCTGGGAGGCCAAGGTGGGTGGATTGCTTGAGGTCAGGAGTTCGAAACCAGCCTGAGTAAGACCCCGTCTCTACTATAAATAGAAAGAAATTAATTGGCCAACTAATATATACAGAAAAAATTAGCCGGGCATGGTGGCACATGCCTGTAGTCCCAGCTACTCGGGAGGCTGAGGCAGGAGGATCACTTGAGCCCAGGAGTTTAGGTTGCTGAGTTAGGCTGACGTCATGACACTCACTCTAGCCTGGGCAACAAAGCGAGACTCTGTCTCAAAAATAAATAAATAAATACAATTTAAAGTCCAGCTCCTCGGTTGTGCTAGTCATATTTCATGGTGACTCGTGGCCCCACGCTGGACAGTGAAGCCAGAGGCCACGTCCATCGTCACGGAAAGTTCTGGTGGCCAGCGCTGCCTGACAGCATCGAACCCAGGGCCCTGACTCCAAAGCTGGCGTTCTTGGCACGTTTTCACATCCATCTGCGGGGGCCCCTCGGACACTTGGGGCGGGCCCTGTTGTCAGTCCACAGAGGGACGCAAGGCCCCAGCACAGCATTCCAGAAAGAGCGCAGGCTGGGAGTGGGGACACTCATGCCCCGTCTGCGCCCGCCACCACTGCATGTGCCCCTGGAGAGTCCCTGCCCCTCCAGGCCTCAGTTTCCACACCTGTATAAGGAAGGGGCCAGGTGAGTTGGTGGTTGTCACAGGGCTGCCACAGGCCACAGGGCTGTGCCGCGGGAGGCCAGGGAAGGGACGCCTCCCGTCAGCTGCAGCCCCCCGCAGGCCGGTTCGTTACTGGGCATCCACAAAAGGTTCAGACGCGACAAACGCTTCTGTGCTGTGTAGTCTGAAAACCGAGAGGCCTCACGGGTCCCCCGTGTCCTGCCCTCTGACTCCTTGCTGGCCCCGACCAGGCCAGCAGGTCTGCCACGTCCCACCCTCTGACTCCCTGCTGGCCCCGACCCAGGCCCGACCCGGAGCCCCTCCCGCTCTGACCTGCAGCCCGGGGCTCTCCTCGAAGTTGTAGGCGCTGGGCCGGCCCTCCAGGGTGGAGAAGGCCACGTTGCCCCCGCTCAGCGGGGAGATGTCGCTGAACTCGGAGGTGCAGAAGGCCACGCGCTCGTCCTCGCCGGGGCGCAGGTACTGGCCCTCGGGCCGGCCGTAGGTCTTCTGGCAGGAGGCGCTGTAGAACTGGTACGGCTCCCACGGGCCGCCGGCGCGGCTGCGCTTGTAGATGGCGAAGCTCTCGGGGCGGCTGGTGTGGAACTTCAGCCTCACGTAGGTGATCTCGTAGGCCTTCCCTGCGGCCAGGAACACGCGGACCCATTTCACAGAAGGGAAGGGAGAGTCAGAGCCCTGGGCCAGGGAGGGCAGACGACTGCACTGCACAAACTCTCCTGGACGCACCGTTAGAGGCTGTCCGGGGCTCCGGGCTGGCAGTGCCACCATCAATTAGTGATGCCTGTCGGAGGCACAGGAGGGGACAATGCCGGCACGCTTCCCAGGTATCTGCCAGCACTTTCTAGGGGAACTCTCCTCCCCGCACAGGAATCTGCGCTGCTCACCCCTGACGGCAGCCGGCCCTCTCTGCTCAAACATCGCCAGCAACAGGGAGTTGCCGCATCCTGACAAAGCCTGCTTTACTGTTAGAAAGCCATTCCTTCTACCATACCCCAACAAAGCCACCCCTTCCACCTGTGCCTTTGGCCTCATTCCCTCGCAATGACTACAGACCCCTCACAAAATCCTCCTGGACCCCCGATTCCCTCCAGCTTCTAATTTCCTCCTGATCCAAGTTTCCCAAGAGAGGCCTCCGTCCACCACGGCCTCATCCCCACCTCCACCTCCAACCCGCTGCGACTCAGCCTCTCTGGGCCACTCCACCCCGGAAACTGCTCTTGCAAAGCCCCTCCCCCACAGCCCCTCATGGCCACAGCCAGGGGACCCTGCCTTCCCCGGGCCCCTGAGCACTCCCAGAACCTGAGGAGTCGCCCACCCTGGGGCCTCTGTGCAGCCCACCCCCTGCTCTCCTCCTCCCTGGCTTTAGCTCACCACCAATGCCACCGGCACCAAGGTGGGGATCTTCAGGCTTTGGGCGCCAGCCTGCCACCCCACCACCATCCTACCCCAGGAGAACCCACATGGAGGAACCCAGGTCCGTCACAATGACTCAACCACACTGGGAGGTCAGGGATAGAGGAAGGCGGCCGTGGGTGGGGAGGCGTCCCTAACTCCTGCTCTTCCGTCATGGACGTCAATGAGCAACGCCCGAGAACAGAAAAACCACAGCGCGGCAGCGCCAGCCCGGGGCGGGGAGGCCCGCAGGCAGGCAGGGGAACAAGACCTTGGAGGCCAGAGGGTGCACGGTGGAGAGGGCTGGGCAGGAGAAGGGGGCCTGCGCCACCCACCCCCTGCCCTAGCAAGTATTTGATTTCTGCACCAAGTGCGTGTGTGATTTCAATAACGAAAAGGCAATAAAGGGTTAATTTAAGAAGGCCACTTCCCCACTGTCTGAAATGCTACTCCCCCATCCAGGACTCCACGTGGGTACCCCCTCCGGGTACCCCCTCCGCACAGAAGGTTTCCTTTAGCCAAGCCCCACCCCCACCTTCTCCCCCAGCCAGGGCAGGGCCCTCCTGCCGAGCCCATCTCTCGTCTCCGTGTCTGGAACCCAGCTCCCCACGCGGAAATCGCTGCCCACCCTGGGCCTCCCGTGCCGGGCGGGGCTCCTCACCGCCAGCACTTGGCTTCTGTTTTTTCATCTTTGCCACCCTAGCACCTAGTAAGGTGCCCGACACCTGGCAGGCACTCACAGAGTGTGCATGAACAAGTGAATGAAGGAAAGAATGACCCACAGAGGAGCCCCTCCTGGACACCGTCCCATCAGCAGCAGGCGTGCACGGCCACTCCCCATGGTCAGCTTGTTCCTCTCCGGCCCTCCTGCCCCTGGCCCCAGAGACCCCAGGAGGCTGCCAGCTGCTGCCACCTCTGTCACTGCCTAGCCTTGGTACTGAGGACTTCAGTCCTCTACCTAAACATCTTGGCTCTATGTAAGAGCTAAACGCTTCTTAGACATGACACCAAAAGCACACGTGACAAAAGAAAAAGCTGGTATGTCGGACTTAATCAAAACCACAGCCTTTGTCCTTCAAAGAACATCACAGAGAAAATGAAAAGGCAACCCACAGAATGGGAGAAAATATTTGCAAATCATGTATCTGATAAGGGACTTGTGTCTAGATTATATAAAGAATTCTTACAACTCAATAATAAAAAGACAAACAACCCAATTAAAAACTAAAGAATTTGAATAGACATTTCTCCAAAGAAGATATACAAATGGACAACAAGCACGTGAAAAGATGCTCAACACTGTTAGCCACCGGGGAAATGCAAAGCAAAACTACAGTGAGATACTGCTTCCCACCCACCAGGATGGCTGGAGTCAAAGGCACCTGAAGTCCCAGCACTTTGGGAGGCCAAGGCAGGAGGATCGCTTAAGCCCAGGAGTTTAAGACTAGTCTGGGCAACATAGGGAGACCCTGTCTCTAAAAAATAAATATAAAAAATTAGTTGGGCATGGTGGTGGCGCATGCCTGTAGTCCCAGCTACTCAGGAGGCTGAGGCAGGAGGATCGCTTGAGCCCAAGAGCTCTGGGTTTCACTGAGCTATGATCATGTCAGCTGCACTGTAGCCTGGGTGACTGAGTGAGACCTCATCTCTAAATATAAAAAATATTAAAAAAAAAATTTAAAGACAGATGATACCACGTCTTGGTGAGAATGTGGAGAAATTGGAACCCTCATACACTGCTAGTGGGAATGTATAATGGTGTAGCCACTTCGGAAAACAGTCTGGTGGCTCCTTAAGACCAGGGGTCCTCAAACTTTTTAAACAGGGGGCCAGTTCACTGTCCCTCAGACTGTTGGCGGGCCGTTGGAGAGTGCGGTGCACATTCCACACATGCGCACTGTGGGCCCGGGATGAGTCGGCTGCTAAGCAGGACAGGCAGCGGCAGCAAAAACACCTGGTGGGCTGGATAAATGTCCTCGGCGGACCGCATGTGGCCTGGGGCCATAGTTTGAGGACCCTTGCAGGACATTCAACATAGAGTCACCATATGACCCGGCAGTTCCACTCCTCGGTATAGACCCAAGAGTAATGAAAACAGATGTCCACATAGAAAACGTGGATGTTCACGGTGGCATTATGCATGATGACCAAAGAGTGGAAACAACTCAAATGTCCGCCCACTGATGAATGAAGAAAATAAATCTGGTATATCGGAGAATAGAATGTTATTGGGCAACAAAACGAGAAGAAACACTGGCCCATGCTACAACACGGACGGGCCCTGAACACACTAGAGAAGCTGACTGCAAAGGACCACGTGTTGTATGATTCCACTCACAGCAAAAGTCCAGAATGGACAAGTGCACAAAGACAGAAAGGAGGCTGTGGTTGTCACGACTGGGGGTTCAGGATGGGGACGGCGGGGAAATGGGAAGTGACTGCTAATAGGTACGGGATTGCTTTGGGGAGGGTGATGAAAATGTTCTAACAGTGATTGTGGTGATGGGTGCGTAGCTCTGTGAATATACTAAAAACACTGCATTGCATGCTTTAAGTGGGTAAATTGCATGGTATGTGAATTGTATCTCCATAAAGCCGTTATAAATATGACATATGTTATACATACAAAAAATTGGGCCTTACAGACAGTAGCGTGGCTCCTACCAAAAAGCAGAAAACAACAAGTGTTGGCGAGGCTGCGGAGAGACTGCAGGCCTCGTCCCCACTGTTGGCGGGATGTCAGACGGAGCAGCCACCGTGGAAAACAGTTTGGCAATTCCTCAAGAAACCAGAATAATGCATCTATCTGACAGGCCCGGGGTCGTTACCATCTGCTGCTAAGGTTTCCACTGCAGATGCAAGAAAAAAGTGTCCTCACACTTTCTGTCTCATTGCGGCAGCCAAGACCGGCTGAGGAATAAAACTCGGGGGAAACAGGGAGAGGAGATTTTTGCAACCCAGGAATAACCTTGTAAACCTACAAGAGGCTGTTTTACCCCAAAGAAGAACCTAACACTTGAGTTTCCTTGATAAGTGTTGGAAAAAATCCCTTATTGCCTTCACACCTCGTGATTACACTTGTAAAAGGTTAAAAGTAAAAGCAAGCCAATGACTTTTAGTCAGGTCCATTTCTGGGTATATACCCAAAAGAACTGAAAGCAGACTCAGATTTTGTGTTATACATACAGAAAAAAAAAAAAAAAAAGTGAAGGCATCCTCCTTCCTTCCCTGGTCTCTGCATGCAGCAAAACAAGAAACTTGTGAGTCAGCTCCCTCCTCAGCACTGTGCCTTCAGCATTCACTAGATCACTAGCTCATTCTCTAGAATATTCTCTGTGTTTGCCCTCCTCTCTGCCCCCCATCTGTTCCCTGATTTATTGCAATGGTCTTGAATGCCCTGCCACTTCTCTGCGGACTTGTAGTTTGCACGCTTCAGTCATGTCTCTGCTCAGACTGGACCTCAGAATCCTTCTTAACACAAGGCCCTAGGCAATAGTCAATTGGACGAAATCTGTTTGTTCTCCCCAGGTTAAACAATAGACCTGACAAGCTCGATTCATATTTGGGGCTTAGACCTGGTCCAAAGATGGAAGGGCTGCGATGGGCCCAGCCCTGGTCAGCCAAGCTCTTGAGGTGTCTGGCATCATGGTCATGGGGCAGGAATTCACCACACCCAGAATGGCCAAGAGCTGGGATGGGAGAGGAAGAGCAGGCACAGTGGGTGGCCAGACCATGGGGCCGGCGGGCCCTGCTGCGATCCCCCCACCTGCAGGCTGGGAGCAGCTCACCCGCCTGGTTCTGATGCCCGTGGGGGCAGGGCAGCCTCGCCCACTAATTCCCAGCTCAGCTCCCCGCCCTGGACCCCCCACTCCCGCGCCCTCCCCAGGCCACTGCTCCCAGATGGCTCCAATTAAAGGGTTTTGTTTTGTTTCCATTTTCCCAAAATAAGCCTCTGCGATCTGAGCTTATTCTGCTTGGTCAGTGCCGGATGTGGGCCGGCTTGATTTTATGACTGTCCCGGTGTCATTCTTGATGGGCTTTATGTCCCAGCTGGCTGGGGAGGACACAGCTTGGCGCTCCCGGTGTCTGGCGGGGGGGGGGGGCGCTCTGCTGTGCCAGCTGCTGGATCAGCAAGGAGGTGAGGGCCGGGAGGAGGCGAGTGGGCCCCCGCATCCCCACAGGCACCAGCCCCCCTCGCTGGCAGCCCCGTCTCTCCGCGGCCCTGTGG